CTTTTTTTATAACCTTTTTTATATAACTCTGTATACGCAAATGATGTAAGTTAAAGTTATTTGTTTTCAAATATCTTTAAAACAATCATAAAGTAAAATATTAGAAGTTGTATTTAAATTGTGTAAGTTTCCTTAACATGTTCTTAAAGGTATTGTAATAGAGAATTTGAGGATGAGAAAATTCTGATACAACACCAAAAAGCAAAACATTTCAAGTGTCATATTTGTCATAAAAAACTTTATACGGGACCAGGACTCAGTATACACTGTATGCAGGTAATGAACCTTTTGGCTATAAAATAAGTTTATATTAAAAGTAAAGCTGTAAAATAATTATTACTTTAATTCTTTTTAGGTGCACAAAGAAGCAATAGACAAGGTTCCAAATTCATTGCCCAATCGTAGTAATATTGAAATAGAAATTTATGGTATGGAAGGTATACCACCGAGCGATGCAAAAGAACATGAAAGGCAAAGAAATGGAGGCAGGCCTGGTTCACCAAGCTCTGGCGAAGATGAACCTGTTAGGAAAAAGACTAAGCCAGAGGGTTTGTTGGGTTCTGCTCCAGGAGCAATGCCTACAGGTTCAAATATGATGCCAGGTGTAATGCCGAGTATGGCAGCTCATCCTGGTATGCCACCAATGGGTCAGTTCCCACCACCCATGCATCATATGATGGGACCTATGGGTCCTGTAGGTCCACCTTTCATGGGACCTGGGTATGTATATTTTTTTTCTTCCAAAAGCAGACAACGTGAAAGAAGAATAACTTTTGTGATATTAGTTTAATGCAAGTTAGGTAAATACACATTTAATGTTTTCAAAAACAGTATGTACTGTTAGCAGGGAAAACAGATGTAAAAACGAAATAATAAGTTATATTTTCTTTTTTGTAGTATGATGCCTGGTATGCCAAGCATGCCTCCAGGTATACAACCGCCGGTGTCAGGTGCATCTATACCACCGTCTCGCCCATTATTTCCAAGTGCCGCAGCTGTTTCAACGGCTGCGTCCACAGCTGTTACATCTCCTTTGGGCACAGATTTCAAACCAATTACATCAGTAGCTGGTGGCTCGATAGGACCAGTTAAACCGACATTCCCTGCTTACAGTAATGCTGATAGTAATACCACCACTAGTAATAATATTGGAAATGATCAAAAAGTAAATCTTATAGCAACTACTAGTGCTGCCATTAAAATCATTCATCCACCAGAGGATCTAAGTCTAGTGAGTTGACAAGACACTACTAACTCTATCGCAGCCGGTGATTCTAATGCAGAGCTTCAATTGAATGCCCTATACAATTATTTTTATAAATTTATAACCACATGCTATATGACCTGTGTGTTTTTAACATGTTGAGGAAGGCTGATCTGACTGCGTCAACGGCTGTAAAACAGTTATCATGTTCATATTGAATATAAGAAGTAAATAACAAAATATTTTATATTTTAGGAAGAAATTAGAGCAAGACTTCCGAAATATCAACGACGGCAAAGCGAAGAAGCGCGCAATGCACAGGTTGAAGCTAATCAGCAAGTTGCCGCATTACAACAGCAGCAACAACAACAGCAGCAACAGCAACAACAACAACAAGCAGCTGCAGCTGCTAATGCAGCTGCTGCGTTTCAGGATCAGCAACAGAGGCAACAGGCAGCGTTAAATGCTCTTCAACAACAACAGAGATTTCAGAGACCTCCACAAGCGGTTATGGTTCCTGCATCAGCTGCAATGCCTGTTAGCTCTGTCGCTTTGATGGCACCACTCATGCGACCTACTATGACCTTAGCTGCACCCGCTCTGATTCATGGAGGTAACATGATGCGACCGCCCCCCATGGGCCTGCCACCAGGTAAGTCTTTATAATTTTATGTGTTTATTCCCATTCCAATAAGGGTATTCCATCATAATCCATTTATGATTATATAAGTGTTTAAATCGCTCGAACACTTTTATATAGTATTACAGTATTTCAATTCCGAACGATCGGGAGCATTTTAAAGAAATGTATAACTTAAATTACGTTTTTCTAAATGTAATGTTATTCTGCTTCTTCGAGTTTGTCAATCACAAGATGTCAATCACATTTATTTTCCTATTTGAGCAAAATAGGAAGAGTAGGATTTTAAAATTGAAGTGCCAAAATTAGGTAATGGTTTATGCAATAAATGGTCATACATTGCATATTTTTATTCATCGATTGTAACAGTACAATAATTTCGTTGGATCTAATGTAAAGAGACTTGAATGTTTCCAAATGAAACAAATATTTTTCTAACGGTAATGACATCCGAAAGCTTGAATTTTATACGATTCATTTACTGTAAATATAGTTTTATCATTGAGACAAAAATGTTTTTCATCTGACATTCATAGTATACTATACCTTTGCACTTCATCCGTTCACTGAGCAACCCTTGCCCATTCCTATGGCAATAAAATTAGGCTTGTCCAATGGCTAGTCTTAAGTTATATGGATGGCTGTGAGTGATAGAGAAATACTTTATAAAAGAAATCAGTTTCTCATGTGGCCCGTAAAAGATATTCAGACCTCAGAAAACTGTGTGAAGAGAGAAAGCGAAAGGGAAAAAGGAGAGTATGACTGTTCAGATACTAGCACGCTCAGGATTCACCTGTATGCCAGAATTTGTGACAGCGTGTTTTGTACGTTTATGCTTTAACGGTGCGTTTCCAGGGTGCCCAGTCACTCCTTGGTGAGTGTCGAACGAACCCAGTCTGGTTACTAAAACTGTGTTTTATACAAGCGCAACAAGGTTGGTCCTTAGCAATTAGCATGCGGTGACGTGGCCTATATATACATATATATATAGCCATATATGTGTATATATTTATATAATATATAGATAAATATATAATGTATATATATATACACATCGTTATATTTATTATTATTCTTATTAATTATTAATTACTGTTATTATTATTATTATGATTATTATTATCATCATTGTCACATTAATACACCTATTTATATATATATATAAATTTCTGTATATTTATATTATTGTCACTGGGCAGGTGGGTCGAGCGGCCAGCGATATTGCATCTGTTCTGATTCCTTCAACGCCGGACAGCCACACTTTGATTTTGGACACATCACGACCCTTTGGACGTGAAATGCCTCCTCTTGAAACTAGAGTACTCGGTACCAGAAGCACGATTACGCTAGATTTATATATTTTTTTATGATCGCGAAACATATATAATATGCCTGCTTTTCAATTTGCAATACATAATTCGCGATTCTTCTATGTGACGTAGATATACGTATATATACACATACTATACGCATATATATATATATATATTTATATGTATGTATATGTACCTTCTTTATACATTTCTATATATATATATATATCTATATATATTTATATATAATATATATATGTGTGTGTAGTTATTTATATGTATGTATATGTACAAAATTTGTTCTCTTAATCGATAAAACCACTACTATGAAATTAATTCGATTTTCGGCCGCTCGGCTGGTTCATCGTACATATAATTTTTTTTTACTTTTTTGTTTCATTAGCTTCTTTACACACTGTCTCTCCACTAAACCATATTTTTCTTACGATACACTCGCCATTACCTTGCCAAAAGTGTTGTCATCCTGTCTCTTCGTATTACATATATAGCTTGAAATCCTGGTGTTGTGATACAAGTAGTGAGAAACCGCTTTTTGGGCACGGTACTGACAGTCGTTCGAAGTTATCATTTTGAAAGACATGCATCGTTTCGGCAACAATAGAGCTGCCCCTTCCTTCTTTATAGCTGGAATTAATGGATCCAAATTTTAATTTTCCTTTTCTGTTTTCATCATTAAGGGTACCAAATGCAGCAAACTAATTCAGTCTTCACAATTTGGTACTTAACAGTACTAAATTGAGAAAGTTGAATTTCCTTTAACGAGTTTCATACATGAAAATAACAAAGATCAGAGTTAAAAGAATTGGCTTTGTAAAACGATATTCATAAGTCGATAGAACTAAAAATCGACTTTTAATTGAAAGTTCTTTAAAAAATGATAATTAATATGTTGTGAAAATTAATATACACATTCATCCGAAGCATAGCACAGATATCTTTGACAGACTTTTTATCTCACGTAGATCGTTGGTTGTTACGTCTTCGATTCTATTATCTTTTTTAAATGAAAATTAACAAAACCTGTGTGTGAGACTCTTTAAAACAGTTCGATGTATTTCCTAGAAAACTATTTAACACATCAAATTAGAGTACTAAAAGAAGGAAGAGGGAAGGGATTACTTTCCGTTGCCGTTGTCCTTATTGCGGTATACATCGTAACGTTAAAGGAAACTTGCAACAAGAACGAATGCAACGTATTTTCCTCACACCATAGACCAGCTTTTCGTCGTAGGAGTGATTCCAATGAAATCGAGTCAGTTCCACGGTAAACAATCTTCATTTAGCCCAAAGAACGTTTGCGTAGACATATAACAGTAATAATTGATTTGTCTCACACATATCTAACACTGAGAGTACAATAATGTCTCTCTAATTGACGCTCAGATTGTCCACAAAAATGGACAATTTTGGAAAAGGAGATATACGATTGTTCGAGCCTCGTGGCTCGTTTTTTATGGTTATCGATTGTCAACGACTATAAAAACGAGTTGCAAGGCTCGAACAATCGTATCTCCTCTTCCTAAATTGTCCATTTTAAGGGAGACATTACTGTATCCACTTTAATATCGGTGAACAAGGGAATAACAATTATAATCAAAATTTTCTTTAATCTGTTGGGTCAGTTATCGTTACCAGTCTGTGGAGCAACGATGTCGGAACAAGGTTCAAGTGAATTTCTGCTTCTCTACAATTATTGAAATTTCACAACGTGTCGCATACACGGAATCAGAATACGCATAAAAACGACAGATTCGACGATACTCCCGGTTTATACAGGGTGTCCCAAAAATATCTCGCGATCCAGAAATGGCGGGTTCCTCGGATCATTTGAAGCAGCTTCTTTCTTTACAAAAATGTTCTCCGAGGCACCGTTAACGAGTTCTTAACGAAAAACAGTGACCAATAAGAATCGAGTACGGTTGACGTGAGGCGGCCCAGCCAACCAGTGCGCGAAGCCCAGTTCCGCTCATTGGCTCGGTCGCCTCGCGCCAGCCGAGCTCGCCTCTCATTGGTCACTGTTTCTCGTTGATAACTCGTTAACGGTGCCTCGGAGAAAATTTTTGTAAAGGAAAAAGCTGCTTCGAATGACCCGAGGAACCCGCCACGTTCGGATTGCGAGACATTTTTGGGATACCTTGTATTGTCCTATTTTATTCCTCGAAAGTGTTTTTTGGAGGAGCGTTTAGGAAGATCGGCTGGCAGCCGAGCGATTTGCTCTCGGATCATGAGAAAACGTATTACAATATTATATCAAAGAATGAGTTTCTTTTCTTTGTATGGTGTGAGGTTTTGTGTGGTATATCACATTTTGTCCGTTTGTTGTGACCTGTATTGCATATGCGGCACACTGCATGCTAAGCTCAATACCTTAAATAGTATGGCAATACGCATTGATAAAGTTGCTAGATAGACGTAGGTGGGCTGCTAAATAATAAACCCTTGCGGGTGTATACTGTAGACCTAGGAAAAACTCGAGTCTCTATCATTACGTCGTTTTAAAAGAAAGGGCACAACCTTCCAGCAGATGCGACATGTGCTCGTTTCAAAAGGTTTGACTCCATTTTGGATATAATACATTATACTTTTCATTTTCTATTCTATTTTCTTTCTTTTTTTCGTTTTCACTCATTTATGTGTATAGGTACATCGTGTAAAATTTCTGTTCTTTTTTTTCCTCTCTCTCTTTCAATCACCTATCACTACTTAAAAATGAGTATAGACGAACCGAATAGCAAGGAGAACAACACCGTTCGTTCGATTCTTTGGTTTCTCGTGTAAAAAAGGGAGAACACTACGATGGATTTCGATATTTGTCATTTCTGAACATTTTCATCGGTCGGCTGTCAGACAACTTCCCGTTTAATAGAGTAACGAAACCACGCACTGGATCAAGTTCCGGAATGTAAAAATTTTCCGTCATCTTCTCACGTTTCTTTTTCTAATTCAGTAAACTTGTATACTCATCGGATTCCCGGTCTCCGATTGAAAAAGGGTGGGGGGTCGGGTCGGGGAACAAACAGGAGAGCATTCTCTATGCATTCGAAATACACGTACATACATACATGCATACACACATACATACACACACACAAACACACACACAGAGTTTTATTTGTTTATGTTTTAACTATCATTCTTTGCAACGTAAGTATATATATATATATATGAAGACTATATATAAATTGTTAAAAAAAAAGATCAAAAGAAAGTAATTTAAAAGAAAAAGAAAATAAAACAAAAGAAAAACAATGAAAGGGGCGGGAAGAATAATATTATGCGGGTGTATTTATTTATGATGCATTGTGATTTGCAGGTATGATAGGAGCGTTACCACCGGGCGCGATGCATCCTGCATTCGCAGCCCCAATGGGTTTCCCTGGTGCGCCCATGTTGGCTCCGATGATGCACCCACGCTTCAGATGATCACCTCCAATGGACGGGCCCACCCCGCCACTGCACTTCGTGCTTTGGGCCCGCCCCTAAATTTTATTAGGGTCCGGACCTGACTGAGAAGAGGGAAGAAGCACGCGTAAAACATGTTAGTTCGCGTGGACACACTTCGTTGATCGGCCGCGGCTGCACTTGACGCATCTTCTCCCACGAAGTTTACACGAAGTTAGCAAAATCTTTGTTTTTTTAATTATATGTCATTGCAAAACACATCACGTCAATGCCTGAGAGGGTTTACCAGGTGCAGTGGAAACGGTCGGCTAAGTTCCTTCCTCGATTGGCTGATTCAGACGAAAAAT